AAACAATCCGCCCGCCTTGGCCTCCCAGAGAGCTAGGATTACAGGCGTGAGCCATTGCACCCAGCCAAAAATAAAACATTTTTTAAAAAGAAATTTAGTGTCATAAGACATTCTATTAAGAACCTAAAGAGACAATAAAATTATAAGCCCTGGGTGAAGCAAACAAGAAAAATAAAATAAAATAAACATGACAAAAAGTCAGTCGTTCCAAAGGTAAGTGATGTCACTGTTCAATGCTTAACCTCAATGGCTTCCAAAAATTGTTACCTCTCAATTTATTGTATTTCCTGACACTTCACTGTCAACAAGGAAAGGAGGTGTGGCATTTATTCAATCTATTTCACCCTTGAGTCTCCAAGCTGCTACATCGGGTGTTTTAAAATCACCCAGTCCATTAAATGTTCTGCAGATTGCAATATATTTTACCATGGTTCATTCCTTGAAAAAAACAGATAATCTCTCCATAATTTACACAAATGAACATGTCTTGAAATATTACAGCTGTAAAGGTTAATATACAGAGAGATGTTGTACATGGTTTGCCATTGTTGATATTATACAATAGTTTTTGTCCAGGTTCTTTTCGTATTATCACGTATAACAATAATTCATTCAGATATACCCTTGATATAAGAATTTAGAAAAAGCTAATATATTCTTTCAGGTCACAGTTTAGCCGTGCCTCCAAAAAAAGTCAAAAAAATGAGAGGGTATTTGAGGACACTACTTTTCTTAATTATTGCTGACTTTACTGTTCCTATCTTACATCTGTCGTTCTTCATCTTATTCACTGTTGGCTAATCACTGCAGTTAATTAAGCAACTGTCAGCTGAGTCCACCATGTCCCTCTCCAAGTGCCCCCAGGTTGATGCAGGTCTCTTCTGACAAAAATAAGCTTGGAAAACTTGATTTTTATGACAGTGTCCTCAAGAGCAGCTGTACTCTTACAATAGCCCATCTAGCTGTATTTTTGAAAAGCACCCGTGGACTATAAAATTAAATTCTCAACCAATGTTATGCCCATATTTAACCGCCAGGGGGAGCACAACCTTCATGTTTGATGCAGGACTTCTTTTTAAAGGGGAAGTTATTTTAAGTTTTGAAGAGTTCTCAAAGATCACCATTCTTTACTTTTAAAGAGAGGAGCACTATGTCTTAGATAATCTATTGTAAGTATGTTGTCACACACTAAGCAAAAACATACTTAGGTGTAGAACTCTGGTATGAGTCTCATTTTCTCCTAGACCACACTCAACACAGCTTACTACTGATTTCCAATACTAAGTTACTGTCAAAAGCATAGTTGGGAGTAAGTATCAATACATTTAACAAGTCATTTTACATCCAAAAGAGAAATTGCCATTTACAATTACCCTTCCATACAAATGTTTTCTTTCTTGCGTTTTTTGTTTGTGTGTTTGTTTGTTTGTTTTTAAATAAGAAGTCCTAAGTACAAGAAAAAAAAGACAAAATTTGGCTTCTTTAATATACGAAAAACAAATTCCGTGGAAATCAAGTAATTAACTAACAAACATTTCATCCACCAAAGCAACTTAAGAATCTTATTTGATTTTAGAAAAGCTCTGACATTTTTTAAAGATCATATCTGGCCGAGCACAGTGGCTCACATTTACAATCCCAGCACTCTGCGAGGCCAAGCGGGGAGGATCACTTGAGGCCAGGAGTTCAAGACCAGCCTGGGCAACATAGTGAGACCCCATTTCTACCAAAAACTATTTAAAATTAGTCAGGCGTGGTGGCGCACAATTGTGGTCACAGATACTCAAGAGGGTGAGGCAGGAGAATCACTTGGGCCCAGCAATTTGAGGCTGCCATGAGCTATGATCTTGCCACCAAAAAAAATAAAAAATCACATCCATGGGACTATTTGCCCAGGCACAACTGGGCTGACTTCTCCCTGGAGTAGCCAGTTTCCTGCTAGAGCCAGCTGTTGTTGGGCCCGACTCTTTGGCCAGATGGGGAATGACACAGCTTCTGAAAAGCTTGTACACAGTCCGACTTCAAGACTGATTTTCTTTGCAAAATATAAATGGAAGAAAACATCCCATTCTGTCTGACTGGATTCCCCTGCAGGCTCAGGAAAACAAGGGCAGCCTCGCCAGCAGGGCAGATGGGAAGATAAACCACAGAGTCTGTCACAATGTCAAGATAAATAAGAGAGATGGAGATTCAACTCCCTAATAAGATCTTCTTACCTGCTGGATGGCATCCGAACCTTTTTTTGGAGTTTCCAAAACAGCAGATTGAGATTCTGGATTGGAAAGGAAGCAGACAGTCAATATCTTAAAGAATAAGTTTTCCTATTTCCTCAGTCAGAAAATAAAACTTTCACTAAAATATACCTGTAACCATAAGTACCAAAAATATCCAGTCTCTCTTCCAATTATATTATTGGATTATTAGGATATGACTTCTTTTCAGTCTATATAACACATATCATGATGAACGCTCATGTCATTAATTATTTTTAAATATTGGAATAGTCCTATGCCCTTCTTTACACAACGACCATAATTATTTGTTACAGTTGCTACTTTCTATATTGTGCCAGGAAGTCCCTAAGATTTTCACTTACTAGTCACTTAGCTAACATCTGTGCCACGGATCTTAAAGGATGGGGTCTCGAAAGCTGGATCTAACTCTAACAAATTATCTTTGGATTCCAGTGAGAGATGATGAGCACTGTCACCAAGAGGCACTGAACAAGACTGGATCCTGAAGGGATTTTGCTCCTTTGGTCTTTGTGCCTGGGATTCTACAAGACTGCAAATTCATCACGCTGGAAAACCTAAGGGGTAACCAAGTCCTGGATGTTTTTCTTTAAGCTAGAGGGCATTTTCTAAGTGAAGCTTGCATACAAATTTAAAAACATAAAAATAAAAATGAAAAGGCCTTCAGGAATCCCAAGTGGTTTGTGGAGTACAGTCTGAAAACCACTAATCTCACCCATCTTCCACATTTTAGAGATGAGAAACCCAACGTCCATAGTGCAAACAGCTGGTGGCAAGGTGAAGGCTAGAACTTATGTCTCCTGTCACAGTCCCCGCACCCCTGACACTGGCATGCAGATCAGACCCCAGACACGAGACACGGCAGTCCCTCTTCCTGATCGTCTCAACATTCCCAATTTAGCAGCATCGTAGCTGATGTATGTGACAATCCTACAGAAAAATAAGACATGTAGTATTTAAACAGCAAAACATGTTGTTAAGCTACAGCGATTACTCAGATGAGAATCTCAGCCTCTCCCCGGGCCCACTGGCCTGGTTTCATCTGCTGTCATCCCTCACCTCTCTAACTGCCCCACCTGTCCCCACCTACTCGCAATGCTCCCCTGGCCAGCTTGCTGTGCTCCAAACACAGGCCACGCTTCTTCCACAGGGCCTCAAAGCCACAGCAGCCGTTGCCTCTGCCCAGAATGATCACCCTTCCTCCTGCTATCTGCCTGCCCACCTTCCGGGCCCTTTTTCAGGGGGCTTTGCTCCAGCCTCTCTGGGCATCTAAAGGAGCAAGCCCACCCACTCCTCAGCACTCCCTACATGCTGGCCCTTACTTCCTTCTTAACGTGGACCATCACACCACAACGCCCATAATTCCCTTGTTTGCCTACTTATTTGTATCTCTTACTCCACCAGAACATAAGCTCCGTGAAAGCAAGGGTTTCTGTTGATGCCCCCCACCCATAGCCTCAACATCTAAATAGTGCCTGGCACGTAGTAGGTGCTTAATATATTTGTTGAGTGATTACGGGAGTGAATGAAAGAATAAATGAAAGATTAACACAAAGATCAGACCATGAAAGTGGGTGCCACCATGCAAAGTGGGATATCCTGGGGAGGGAAAGAGGGAGTGATGATTTTAGAAGAGGCAATATAGATACTGCCTTTAGCTACTTCCTAAACCTCAGCTAAGAGTGTATTTTTCAAAACAAAAATCACTGAGAAGAGCATGATGTAGTCACTTACCAATAGATGTCAGAGTGGTAAGAGAATATAAACAAAGTGGCCTTAAAATACAACAACTTTCCCAAATACTGCATTTGATTGAGCTGATCAAAAAGGGATTCTTCTTTCTTACACTGGCAAATCTCTCCTCTGAACTGAACACCAGGGTTAGCGAAATTTGAATAAAGATCTTTAACAACAAAGCTAGTCAAGAGTGAATATTAAAGCAAATCCAAACTCGTTTTCTGGGATTTTTTTTTTTTTTTTTGTCACTTCCAAATCCTCCCAAACACAATAGACTCAAGAAAAGCCCCGACTTTGTACCAATGGAGGAAAAATTTCTCTTCCTCTTCTTTCTGTTTAGATAGTGCCGTAAGAGTCCAAAGGATCTCCTGGTAGTACCCTAAAAATTCCTTACATTAAAAATGTACAAAATCCTTCTCAGCTTTTTCCATAGTCCTTGACATGGTGACCTGTCCAAAAGAGCAAACTTCTGGGCCTCGATAATAAATAAGAACAAAGTGTAGTTTGGCAGAACAATGGACTAAGAAAACAATGTTTATTAGAACGGTGTGTCTGTGAAATATTCTAAATACCTACACCCAAACTTGCAGTTTCCCTCTTTCTAATTCAAAGCCTGCCTGAACTGAATTCACTTTCCCATCCCCATCACTATACTTTTTATTTCCTTGAATTCATGTGTTAAAACATCTAAGAGAAGTTTAGATGTCAAAATGCTCTCCTTAAACTCCTAAGCTGGAACACAGTGGTTCTCAAGGGCCAAGATTTTAAGAGGAAAGAGATGCACAGAATAATTTTAATGCAAAATAAAGGGAAAATGTGTGAGGACCACTAAGAGGAAAGAAAAATACAGGTTAAGGAGAAAAAATAAGAGAGAATAAAACAAAGCAAGAACACAGAAGAAAGATGGTAATAGGAAGGAGAAAGCAAAGGGAAGCATGAGAAATGGCAAAGAGTGTCACGCAGGGCGTGGCGAGACGTCAGCCTGCCAGGAGCAAGTGATAAGGAACTGGCCTCTGAGTGATGGCTCAAGACTAGAGTCCCTGGGCCTGCGGATGTGACAGATCAGCTTAGTTCCAGCGCTCACAGAGCTCCCTAAATACAGACTCCAATATACTCGTTATCAACACTGTCCTCCTCCCAGGACTGGGGGCAGTTTCCAGAACCGCCTTAAACCCCCGCTCTGGGACTGGCCAGCAGTCTCCACTAAATATTCATCAACTAGGATGGTTAAAGGGTAGCCCAATGAGAGTACTCTCAAGGGTACACTTGGAACTGTCACCTCCTTCACTCATCCTTAAAATTAAGAAGCTAGAATTAAAAAAAAAAAAAAATCATTGTGAAGCAAAGAGGGAGAAAAAAAATCTTCCTGATAAAACTTTAAATATAGCACTTTTTTAAGTTACCTGAGAAAATTCTGAGCATACTCCAAAATTCCGGGCTCCCTACAATTCCAAATATGTTTCAGAAGCGATCTCCATATCATCACAAAATAAGTGTATCACTCATAAAACAAAGCATACTTGGATGAGTTATATGTTTGTAGAGAGAAGACAATAAGATAATGAGGAGATGCCTCTCTGCTAATGGAAAATAAATCACTCCTTTTAAAAATATATACGTTACACCTTTTAAAAATGAATTAAGTGGCCTCTAAATAGTTTTACATTTTAAGTGAAAATTCAGTTATGTAAAATTATTAAATTACATCTTCTTTAATGGTATACCTCAATTTGATTCAAATCTAGTCAATTTAATTGAAAGAGAATTCATTAAACTTCACTTAAATAGCAAGACTTATGATTGGCTGTCTAATAAATGGTAGATGTTTATAATTCTGATATACTATGTTCTTCCACAAATGAAGTTGGGGTTAAACACTTAAGTCTTCCTGAATGGAGCCAATCCTATGTTATTCTTGTTTGATTATTTAATAGTATAGTGCATCTGCCCCTGATCGCCAAGAAAATACGTCTACACTCAGGCTTTGGCTAGCTAAAGGGAAAATGCGGGCCAATTTTATAATGCGCGTGCGCGCGCGCACGCACACACACACACACACACACACACACACACACACACACACACACACACACACACATGCCTATATATGCTGAAAATGGAGAATTTAGCTGTAGGAGACACAGTGGACCTATTCTAGTACATTTTATCCCTTGATTAAGTGAGACACTCCAAGAGAGAGAAAACACTATTAACTCTCCCTCGGCCCCTCATAGAATTTCTGTACTACCTCAACTGAACGTGTGTTAAATAAAGCATTTGCACAACACGCAGAAATGAGTATTTGTAAATACTGTATTTGGAATTAGATCACACAGAATCTTTCTTAAGCCATTAGAAACATTTCTTTCGGATATCGGAGGCCAGACAAGGTGCGCATCTCTGAATGACTGTTGTTTTTAATCTCATGGACACTGAGGATGATCCAGAATTGTTCACATTCCCCTTTCTGCTTTGAACCTGAGGATATATTTCCAATTATTTTTAAATACTTGCAGATCCTTATGAGATGCATTTCAGTGTCCTAGCTTGTCCCAGCTTCATTTTATTCCATCCTAAAATCCTTTTAGTTTGATCTATATGCCTTTGTGATTTTTTTACACACCATAGATATTTATAAGCTGCTCAAATCCTTTCTGGAACAAAGGTGGGTTATATCCATTCAGCTAGCACATAACCACATTTTTTTAAGGATTTCTTACATAAAAAGCTTCTGCCGTGTTTCTACCAGATCTTCCTCCATATGTTTTCTTCTAGGATTTTCTGTGCTCGAGTTGCCTTTCTAAATTCAGTCCTGTTTGCTCTCTTGGCCATTCACATTTTCAAAGATAGATAAGGAACTTGATTCTCCACAGATGAAACAACCAAGGATCAAATCCCTGTTCACATCTACACACCCTGCTTCTGGTTCTCCATGAATTTGCAAACTCAAGCTCATTATCTCTTTCATTTTGTGTAAATCTATTGAGAGATCTTTGAAACTTAGCCCCTAAAATGGTCCAAGAACTGTTTTAGCACACATACGAAAACTCTCCCTCAAATCCTGCATTCCTCTGCTAAGTAGATTTTTTATTTATTTAGACCTTTTCCAATAAGATCCAAAGGTCTTGAAATGCTGGAAGTCTACAGGAAAGACATGTACATATAAACAGATAAATGTACAATATGTAAATAATTCAAATGGCAGAGATATGAATAAAATGTCCTGGGACTCCAGAAAACAGAACAACTATAGACGGGTGGGTAGGTGCACTGTATGAGTAAAGGAAATGAAGAGAGAAGATAAAGACAAAACAAGATAGAGGGAAAGGTTTTCTTCTTATCAGTTTCTGCCACCAACCGCTGGAGCACATTACTTCCTAACTTTTTTTTCCAAACAGGCTTATCCTTCCAGGAGACATTCTGTAGACTTGAAAAAGTCAATTTTAACACCTTGGGCCCATTTGCTGAGACAATGCCAACTGCATAGGGAGATAGGAACAAAAGATTCCCAGGAATCTGCAGCCCTTCCGCAACTCACAGGTGAGGAGAGGCACCAGGACTTCACCTTGGCCTCGGCACTTCCAATGCATATGATGAAGGGTCAGTTCCTTCATCAATATATGAAGATGGTGAAAAACCTCTTTCACAGAACAGATCATGGAAAAATTAAAGTGAGACACACGAGAAAGGCAGAAGAGGGAGTACTACAACTCTGAATTAGCTGGACATGTGAATTAGTAACAAGAGCCCGGAAACAAAAAAAGCAAAAAAGAAAAATTCAATTTTCTAAGTTGAATCTGCAAGTCTTTCTTCTTCAAAAAGAAAAAAAAGTCATCAAACTCTTAAAGTAAAATTGAAAGGGGTCACATGTTGCATACAGTGGTTTTAACCATGATGTCACTGCACTATACAATACAGTGTAGCCAGGTAAGTGCATTGCAAATTGTTTATTACTATTAATAATTGTATTATCAAAATTTGCTATTGATACAAAACATGAGACTCTAGGCAAGGTTTTCCCTATAATATTGACATTCTCACCCTTACAATTTGGCTGTCTAACTAGAGGAGAGTGTGGTATGGCTGTCTAGGAATGAGACTGCCCCATGGAAGTGTCTTTCCAAAGGAATGTCATGGAGTCACAACAGGAAACATTTAGAAAACATCATTACATCACTTTACACAAAAGAATGCTCCATGGCTGCTGGGGTTTATAACAGACCAATTAGAGAAAAATAAGTCACTAAGTTTAATTTCTTTTTGCTTACCTTCATCATCCTCTTCAAGAATGCATATTTTAAAAGGACACAAGTTAACACATTAAAAATTACTTGCTCTAGCATTTTGCAAACTACAGCAAATCATTAAGAAAAAAACTAGGTGACAAATTTCCTGGTATCAATTCCAACTACCATCATTTACCAAACTAAAATTCAGATTACCACTTTCAATTAACTTTTAATCAATCTTCCTCCAGTACATATAACCAGTAACATGAAGTGTTTCCTAATATTTTTAGAGCACCCTAAAATTTTAGAATATAATATAAGTGTTTCAGTTAGAATAGTTGAAAAAGATACAGTAGGGAACAAAATACATGAAATTATCACCCTGCTCTACAATGCAAAACCCAGGATATGAACTGTTAAAAGGGGTCTCCATGTAATCGATTCATTCTGCTATATCTACACCTGGGTATTTCGTACCAATAAATAATTTTTAACAAACAAATAGAATGGCGCACATAATAATGGGATCAATACTTTTAGTTGTGTACTTTTCCTTTTAAAACAAAGTGCTTTATTTTCAGGTGCTATGATGTTAGAAGCCCCTCATCTCTGAAGATCTTTAAGGAACTCTGCCTTGGTCTTTGATCAATTGCTCTCTGTAAGCGTTATGATAAACTCAGAGTCCCACATAGAACAACATTTCCGGGATCCTATCTCTCATTTGTTGTTCATTTCAGGGAGTACAGCCCACCTAGTGAACAGTCAGCAGTGTTTTAAAAGCACTGGGCATTAAAGGAGGGAGATTCAAGGTCAAGTGTAGGGCCCCATTTAGTGCATTGGTGAAAGGAAGAAAGGCGTAAATACATCCCTCCAGAGACTGGAATAAAAGGAGGCTAGGCTACCTTTGCTGGACTTCAGGCAGTAGCCTAGATAAAACTTTTTACACTGTGGATCATTGTTAGTTTTGAAGGGAGTTCATGAGGAGATAACATGTAAGAATGATAATAATAATTATAATAATAATAGTAAATACAGTGAGTCAGGTGCTGCCTTCTACATGCTAATGCTTTACATAAACTCACGTAATCCTCAAAACAGCCCTAGCACTAGATGCTAGGCTCATCACCATCTTACAGATGGGGAAAGTGAGTACAGTAGCTAGGAAAAGCTCGTAAGTGGCACGAAGCTCAAAAGTGGAAGAGCCCAAGTTCCGTGCTCTCATGTTATGCACTTTTACTGTAAGTCCAAATTAAATTTCTAATGACTGTCTTCCTCTCTATGAGCCAATGAGAAAAAAACATCAAAATTCCTAACCCTACTACTTATGCTACCATTTAGGAAAATCTGGTGGGGAGAGATCCATGAATAGCAATGCTGCCCTTTTATTTACTCTTCTCTCATGCATCAGAAAAGTCAATATTTAGTCCTGGTCAGTCCACCAAGAGGAAGCTGGGAATTTATCACACCAAAATGAAGAAAAAACAAGGGATAAAGCAACCAAATCCCATAAAGCATTGTTACATAAATACAACTCTCAATTCTGTATGAAAAATATAAACTGTTTTCCTAGAATTGGGCATGGAGATCATCCGAACTCCTCCAAATACAGCTGATGCTAATTTCATGCTGTCTTCCTGGTCAGTAACACAGAATACTTTAAGACGATGAAAGAAACAAAAACCGAAAAGAACCAAAAATTAAAATTAAAAAAGATCACATCTGAATGCTTGGCAATTACGAAAAAGATCACTTAAAACTGAAACTTAATAAAACTTATCTTTCTATCTTGCCTCTCCTAGTTATTCTCTGAAGATAAAGATAGGATTAAGAAAAGCACACACACACACAAACACAGTAAGTCAAGAGATTCAGAGGGAAGTGGTAAGGTCAGTCCTTTGAAGGCAGTAGACAGAGATGTCTCCTTTTTGGGGCTCCTTAGACCAAACAGGATGTGGAGCTTCAGCCTACAGTGGTGGCTCCAGCTGGGTGCCTGGAGGCAGTGGCTCTCCAACTTTAGTAGATACAGCCATTATTGGAAAACTCCAGTGTTCTGTCCCTAAAATTCTAACTCAGCAGCCTTGAACATGAGGCACAAGAATCTTCAATTTAACAAGCCTCTTAGTGCTGTGATTTTAATTGGGTTATCTGAAGATTATACTCTAAAAAATACTTAGAAGAGAAACCTAAACTCACTACTCAGCAAGCAGTGCAAACATACATCATGTCACACACTTTCAGAACGTTCTCTGTCCTGCTGTCCTACCTGTTTCCATGGGTCTGTGTTCTTCTTCAGGAGGTTTGGATGGTGGCCACGCAGATGGAACCCGCCTGGGAAACTGCCCTTCGGAGTAATCCAGCGAGTGTGTGGGTTGACTAACTGCGGCCCAGGTGTAAAGTTGATCTTGCTGTATTTAAAAACAAAAAAAATTTTAAATGCTGAAAATTCAATTATGAAAAAATAAGCCTTGATTGACTTATTGCAAAATCATTTCTATGTAAATTACATGTATATGACATTAAAACAGCATTTTATATTATTCGATGTAGATTCCTAAGATACACATTTCTTTCACAGAGTCATTTTTTTTTATAATGCTACTTGTCTCCACTTTTTTTCTATAGTAAAATCTAAGTCTCTTTGGAGGGAGAGATGCTACGTAGGTCTGCAGGGAATTACAAGGTCGGATGATTCAATCAGAGAACTCTCTGAACTAGCACCTTAAATTCATTTGAATATGATGTCCCTTTAAGAATTGTTTATAGACTTGTGAAAATGTCAATGGACAGGCTGTAGTTGGGCAGCAAAGGACAATAGCAGCTTCCATGCTTTCAACAACGAAAGGCCCACGAAACCGACCAGGTCCAGGTTGGAAACTGTTTGGGAGAGAAACCATGAACAAAATAAATGAACCAAGAATGAAAGAACTAGACAAGGATCTTCTGGCCAAGAGAGGCTTTGCCAGATGGAAAACAACAGAATCCAGACAGATGGAGAAGGTGGCTTGTAACTATACCTAGAGCCAGGGGACAAAGTATAATTCTCACTAACAAGGCCACTTCGAGGCCTATAAACACCTTGGAAATCTGCTCATCAGGATTTCAGAATAACAAGTTCAACCGTTTTAGGATGCATATGTTCAACATACGCATACCCTATATTTGTGGCATTTTCCTTACTCAGATATATTTCCCTAATACCTTTGATCAACACAAAGTAAAGAGGACAACCGTATGGTAGAGATGAAAAACAAGAAACACACTGTAATCACCAAGTTGGGACTAGAAAGTAAATGAGTTAAACCAATAAACAGATGTTGCTATTCCTGCAATTTACTAAATAAATTAAGAAATCCACAAAATAGTCTTCAACATCAACAGGATATAATGTACAGATCAGTTAGTTTAAGCTTTACATTTATGAATAGTCATTGCCCCAATTGAGAATTCAGATTCCCAGGGTGAGCTAGGATTGTATTATAAAGGGTCACATTTCAGACCCAGCTAAGCATTTCAGCTATTCATATATCTGTCAGCTAGTCCTATCTTTTTTTTTTTTTTTTTTTTTTTGAGACAGAGCCTCACTCTATTGCCCTGAGTAGAGTGCCATGGTGTCAGCTTAGCTCACAGCAACCTCAAACTCCTGGGCTCAAGCAATCCTCTTGCCTCAGCCTCCCGAGCAGCTGGGACTACAGGCATGCGCCACCATGCCCAACTAATTTTTTCTATATATTTTTAGTTGTCTATCTAATTTCTTTCTATTTTTAGTAGAGACGGGGTCTCACTCTTGCTCAGGCTGATCTCGAACTCGTGAGCTCAAACGATCCGCCCACCTCGGCCTCCCAGAGTGCTAGGATTACAGGCGTGAGCCACCGTGCCCGGCGAGCTATTCCTATCTTGATCAACACCAGAGGCTTTGCTATTTAGCATACTGAGTATCAGAAAGAGCTTTTCATTGATGAAAATAGTAGCTTATTTAATTAACATAATAAATGTTGAGCATGGGCCGTCTCATTTGGAGAACCTGAAGGAATTCAATGTAAGTAGACTGGCTACAACATCAGAGAATATACCCATGTTTGAAAAGGTTAAGACTCAGTCAAAGGATGATGTCAAGGCATAACACCCCATCAGCACTACATCCAACTACTAGTTTAGGAAGATGTCTCTTTGCCTGTTGAAAACAACTAGGCACAGGATCCTGCCTTCTTCGTTTCTGTATCATATGAAACTTTCATGCAAGATGTGGTCAAGCACCTACCCAAGCAGCAAGCTGGACATGTTCTGACCTCTCAGGAGAGCATGTATGAACTCTTGCACATGCTAATGTTGTGTGTTTAATAAATGTCTATGTTTTGGGCAGAATTTCATTTGATATTTGCTTTCATTAAAATCCAGTAAACCCTGACACCGTATACAAAAATTCAAAATGGATCAAAGACTTAAACTTCAGACCTACAACTAGGAAACTTTTAGAAGAAAGCGCAAGGGAAAAGCTTCATGACACTGGTTTTGGCAATAAGCAAGTAAAAATCAATAAACTGGACTACATCAAAATTTAAAACTTTTTTGCGAAGGAATAATCAACAAAGTGAAAAGGCAACTTATAGAATGTGAGGAAATACTTGCATATCATATCTGTTAGGGTTTAGTATCCAGAATATATAAAGGACTCCTACAAGTCAACAAGAAATAAGCCGATTTTAAAATGGGGAAAGGACTTGAATAGACATTAATCCAAAGAAAATACACAAATGGCCAACGAGCACATGAAAAAATGCTCAATATCACCAATGATTATGAAAATGCAAATCAAAACTATGAGATATCGCCTCACATCCATTAGGATGGCTACTGTAAAATAAAAAACAGAAAATACATGCTAGCAAGAATGTAAAGAAATTGAAACCTTTGTGCACTACTAGTGGTAACGTAATAGTACAGCTGCCATGGAAAATATATGTCAGTTCTCAAAAAATTGAAAATAGGATTACCATATGATCCAGCAATTGCACTTCTGGGTATATAACCAACTGAATTGAAAACATGATCTTGAAAAGATATTTGTACACTCATGTTCATAGCACCATTGTTCACAATAGCCAAAAGGTGGAAGTAACCCAAGTGTCTATCTATGAATGAATGGGTAAACAAAATATGATATATACATATAACAGGATATTATTTAGCCTTGGGGGGGAAAAAAGGAAATTCTGACACTGCTACAACATGGATGAACCTTGACACATTACGTGAAATGAAACAAGTCAATTACAAAAAGACAATACTATATGATTCCACTTACATGAGGTACCTAGAATAGTCAAATTCATAGAGTTAGAAAGCAGAATGCTGGTTTCCAGGGGCTGAAGGGAAGGGTAATCGGGAGTTGTTGCAATTTAACTAGTATCAGAGTATCAGTTTTACAAAGTGAAACTTTCTGGAGATTGATTGCACAACAATGCAAATATACTTAACAATACTGAACTGTATACCTAAAAGGTTAAGATGGCAAATTTATGTGTATTTTACCACAATTAAAAATTTAAAAATAAATTTTAAAAAAGCAGTAAATTGCAAGGTTGCCAGGGAGTAGCTAAGCCTCACCTACTCAAGGGTTGTGCATGATTAAGTTGATTTAGGTCAGTTCTTAACAGGTGACATGGATACAGCTGTGGCTCAAGAAAAGCAACAAAATGCAACACCCACTCCACCATCCCTCACCCTCCAGTGAGTGGTGGTGATATCTACGTTAGCTACATTTAGGAACTTACCTACTCCACACAGCCCCTGAAAATCTCCCCAAAAACCTATTTTAAATCTTTGCAGCCATTGCCTTCCTGACATTTTCTGGTATAGCAGAATCCATGGACATGTCTGTAACAACATGCTTTTGCAAAGGGCACACAGAAGCTCAGCCTCTGAACCAGACAGACCTGGGGTTGTATCTCAGCACTACCACTTGTGTGAGCTGAAAGAAGTTAACTGAAATACTCCTGCATCTCAGTTCTTCATGTGTAAACTATGACATATAGCATGCTTAGTAAGTACAATGCTTAGCAATTACTCTGGGGCTGGGTTCTCAGTTCCGTCCTATTGGTCTATGTCTCTGTTCTTGTGCCAGTACCATGTTGTTTTAGTTACGATAGCCTTGTAGTATAGCTTGAAGTCTGATAAATTGATGCCTCCCAATTTGTTCTTTTTGCTTAAGATTGCTTTGGCTATACGGGGTCTTCTCTGATTCCATACAAAGTGTAGAATTATTTTTTCTAGATCTGCAAAAAATGATGTTGGTATTTTAATAGGGATTGCATTGAATCTGTAGATCACTTTGGGTAGTATAGACATTTTAACAATGTTGATTCTGCTGACCCATGAGCATGATACGGTTTTCCACCTGTTTACGTCCTCTGCTATTTCCTTTCTCAGTGTTTCATAGTTCTCCCTGTAGAGATCTTTTACCTCCTTAGTTAAATATATTCCTAGGTATTTTATTTTCTTTGTTGCTATTGTGAAGGGTATTGAGTCTTTGATTTGATTCTCAGTTTGACTGTTGTTGGCGTATAGGAATGCTACTGATTTCTGTACATTGATTTTGTAACCTGAGACTTTGCTGAATTTGTTTATCCATTCCAGTAGTTCATGGCAGAATCTTTGGGTTTTCTATATATAAGATTATATCATCAGCAAAGAGTGATAGCTGTCTTTCATGTTTAGACCTCTAATAATCCCAGAAAGGAGTTTTATTTTTGTGAGACAGAGTGGTATCTTTTTCACATGATATGAAAAACTATCCAGTTGACTCCTTCCCATATATTTAAAAGGCTCCATGAGACTGCTTTTTAGTGCCACCTTTGTCATTAATCAACCATTTATATAGCTGAAAGTCTGTTATGTGGTTCTCTCAATTCCATTGTGTTTATGTATCCTTGTACACATATTAGAATGCTTAATTACTGTTGCATTATAAGTCTTGATATTTTGAATAGTAAGTCTTTCCACTTTGTTTTTAAAGATTATCTTGCTTATTCTGGGCCCTTCCAATATAAATTTTAGAGCCAATTTGTCATATCACACTAAAGCACACACAGGCACATGTATACACACACACCTGGGTGTTGATTAGAATTGTATCAAATCTGTCAGTTTGGAGAGATGTGAAATAACTGAGACTTCAAATCCATAAATATACAGAGTCATTCATCACACTTAAGTCATTTCTAATTTTTCTCATTGAGGTTTGATAGGTTTCTGCATAGAGGCCACACACATTTTTATTCAGTGTCTTCTTACATATTTGATTTTTTTAATGCTGCTTTAAATGTATTATTTTTAAAATATCTTTAAAAGTTTATGTTTGCTGATAGCAAACTGATTTTTGCATACTGATTTTGTATCTGGTAACCAT